GCGGTGTTGACCGACCTCAATATCTCGCTGACATTTTCCTTACTCTTTGCCATCATGGTGGCAAACGCTCGGCGCTGATCGGCCACCTTTCTCGCATCCTGGGGAAGCGCGCCATCCATGTCGCCATTGTTGTCATAGGTAGGGGCGACGTCATCGTCGTTGTCGTGAAGCCCGTCCCAGCCGCCGCCGTGCCCTGCTGATCCCAACACGAGGTACACGCTCCAAGGCTCGTCGTCCACGTCGGACGCCTGTCTCCAACGGTTGTGCACACACGCGGCGTTGAAGGTGTGGCCAGACCCAGGCAAGTCCTTCTCGCCGATGAAGCTAAGAAGAACTGCGAAGTAGTGTCTGCACGGTAGGCCGTGCTGCAGGAGCCGTAAGCATGAGCACAAGTGAAAGTCCCCGGGGCCGAAAACCATCAGGTGGCTCGGCCGATTGGGGGTAAGCTTGTACCGCACGGCGAAGATCGCAGAGGTAGGAACATCTTGGGTCAGGGACAAGAAATCCTCCAGAGAGGTGCGCGCCCACATGCTGGTGTCGACGAGGGATCCTCCCTCACGGCCATTCTCGCATCCTTCGTCGAGGTCCGTGGCGGGTGGCGGCGGTTGCAAGAGGTTGAGGCGATTTCGAAGGGCGGAAATTTGCCCCACCTTGACGGGGTCTTGGGCGGGTTGACGGTCGACGATGGGCTCCACGTCGTACGACTGCGATCCCCCGAGCTCGCGTCGGACGTCCTGGTTAGTGTTGGACGAGGTTGACGGTATTGACAGGAGGGCCAGACAGAATCGATTGAGGTTTACCAAAAGGGTAGCGAAGCAGCGATTATGTGGTAGCATTGCGTGGGTCTGCGTTGACCACAGCCGTGTATGATGCCGTTAACAGGATTCACCCGCGTGCAGAATTGGCTGGCACCGACACGCTGAAGTCCTTCGTTGATCGGCGTAAAAAATGTCTCCATGTCCTTCTCCTGGAAGGGCAGCTGCGCAGCGATGGCCGGAGTTGCGAGCCTGTAGACATAGACCATCCGGCACGGGGCGTAGGATATGTGGCGGGGACATGTGGCGGGGTTGGGGTTAACGGGGAGACTGGCTCCTTCGTACCGAATGTCACAATCGCCGAGTCCCACAATCGATTGCCTTCAACATTAAACGGGCGAGTGAGATGAGCGATTTAAACGACCGAGCTGCGACAAAGCTGATCCATGGAACCCAAACTCAGCAAAGATGACCCAAACCCAACAAAGATTACCCCCCTCACCTTAAGTGAAGTTATGGGAAGCGGAAAACACACGATGCGAAGAAGAAGCGGTAATTCCTCTGAAATCCGGGAGTGGTAACTCCATGAAACTCGCCTGGCGGACTCAATCGCTAGGGACGTGTCGACACGTCTCAAGACGTCCCAAAGAGCGCAGAGGGACAACTGCTTGATAACTCCCATACGTTTCGCCACAGAGAACAAGCCCTCCACGCGTTGGGTAGCAGCCATGCCTAGGGCGAGAGTCGTCGTCCGGCAGTAGAACGCCCACTTCGACTTGTTCCTAAATGTCATCGTCCAGGGTATTGCGAGCCGAAAGTGTTTGCGTCCGATTGACAATGATGTTGACGTCGCAAAGTGAAAATAGAGGTAGCTGCTTCCACACCAGGGCGACTTCAAAGTGGGAAGAACGCGGAGAATATGCTTGGGTTAGTCGACACGCACTCACTTGAATAGGTTGTCGACGTATTCCTCGCAGTCGGAGAGTTTTGAGCGGAAAAAAANTCACTTGAATAGGTTGTCGACGTATTCCTCGCACTTCGTTCCCGCAGAAATCTGCTCCATCTGACCCCTGCTGGATGCGAAGGCCTGGAAATACGCGCAACGGTGGCGGGTTGCAACAGGCAAGGCCATGTTTGGCCATGTTTGGATCAAATAGCTGCCTAAGCAGTCGGAGAGTTTTGAGCGGAAAAGCGTCCCTGGCGCAGGCGACGAGGCCTCGAACCTCACCTCGGCATTAACTGCATAAGCTGCGCTGCGGAAGGAACGAAGCATCCGCGTTCGGTCGTGGTCGGACAGGGCGCCGGCACACTTCTTGACAAGGTTCTTGTTGACGTGCCACAGGCAGAAGTGGTATTGTGTACCCTTCCAGACAGAAGCTACGGCCGAGGTCATGGCGACATCGGCGTCCGTGAGGATGACCTTCAACACCATAGATAAGGCAAAATCCATCAATGAA